TTTGAAATAAGAAATTAAGCCAAGAAACAAATGCCAACGCAGTCACACCGAAAAATATAATAAGAAAATTTTAACTACTGCGACCCAAACGGCCCAAAAAAAACTAAAAAGTACACTAGTGTAAATATGTGTGTACTTGTGTGTATGATAAAAATTACCCTTCCTTTGACTGGAAGTAATTTTAAGTTTCTCCTCAGCTAAAGATAAAAAATTGAATATATTTCTCTGTTCTCCCCCACCAGAGGTAATAGTCAGTATATATATAAAAAAAGGTGTTCAAATTCAAAAAATTAAAAAATTAAGTGGAACGGACATTGAACTCAAATTCAAAGTAATGAGCGGGCTTAAAAAAAAGCTGTGCTTTCGCTCGAACAAAAAAAAAAACAAAACATAATAATATCATAATAATAAAACATGCGTATAAAAATCCAAAGCACAGTGATACTCTGTTCTTCCCTTCAAAAAAAAAAAGATAAGAGAAATAATTACCAAATAACTACCAATTAAATTATTAAATTTACAAGAAGACAAAGGTATATATTGGGTAATGCTATAAACTAAGTGTTACAACAAGCAAAGCGGCAAGTCGATTTAGTAGATTAACGTGGCTACCAACAATCCGCTTTGTCAGCAACTTTGCACTTTGGCGCAACTGCAGGCTAATGTTTTGCCTGACAACAAAGTGTCAAACAGTTGCGCGTGAGGGTCACTCATTAAAAATACAACGCTCATCTAAAAATATATCGTTTATAGATCTTCGGTGCCAAACCGAACAAATCTATATCTTATATAGTTTTCGAGCTTATAAATAAACAAATGAGGTACTTAGTAGACTTTTCAGCCTTTGCCCAAAAATTTGACAATTACATTACAGTAGTCATTTGTTAATTCTTAAAAAAATTGGATATATACATACAGTCTTACCGCTAAATACTCAAAATTTAACGACTGAGATACAACTTACTTACTTTTAAGTCTTTTACTGTAACAGAAGTCTCCATCGTGGGACTTGCCCGTGACTGTATACTATGCAGTTTATTTCTTTTAGAATCGTAGCACATCGCTCCAATCAGTTTATTTTTTTATGTTTCAGCAACGAATAATGTCATAGTTAAGCAAACCACTTCATATAATTGAATACTTCGCAACGGTCAACTAACTTAATAGAAAGTTATTCCCCAATGATACATTAATAGCATAAGAGAAATTTGACATTATGTATCAGTCATTCCTTAAAAAATCATGGGCTTTTAATTATAAATAATAAAGGAAATATATTATGAAGAAATTGGTCGCATATAGGGAATATTATTAGCAAAATATTAGAGGCGGCCGCACTGACCTCATAACACTCATTCACAGTCTATGCGCTTCCAGCTCCAAAACTCTGGAAGACATACTATTTCCGATTTGCCATGCCCTGAAATAAATTTGGGTACATCAATAGGGGAGATAAACAATAATTTATTTGTTAAATTTTGAGTTTCTAACTGCAGAACTGTAGTAGATTCAGTTTTTCTCCATTTCCCACTTCAGTAGTCTTAAGCATATCATTTTCGGCCAATCTTTAGAACCTGTCTCCACAATCAACCTCGACCGATGTGCACTTTTAAATATTATTTATATATTGTATCTAGCGTTTACATTAGGACACAAGGACTCGAACCGTTGAACAAGTAACTGCCAGGTAAACACGCATTGGGTCAGCCAACCCCGCCATTTGTTGCCAAATTACTGTTCGAAATATTTGTTGCAAATCTCAACCGCAATTACGTTTATTCAAATAGATAAGAATGCACACAATCGATGACACATGGTTAGGTTGACATGTTCTGGATTTCCCTCGAAGTTTGATTCTTTCGTAGGATGAGTAAGACGAGTTAACCGAACAAAAAGGGCATAAATAGGGCATTTCTGTGAAGGCGTTTGCATCTCTACCAAATCCATTAAGTAAAACAGAAGTTATTAAACAAATTTCTTGGAATTGCAAAAGCACATGTCAAGTTACGCCAAGCGCACGCATTTTTCCTATGCATGTGCAGACACACATTCAAATCCGTGTATTCTTTTCAATTCGAAGAATCGAATTATCAGCTGCTACTTAAGTTCAAACTTGCAACTCTTTGTACAAGCAGTGCAGTGATGGTATAGGCAGAGGTTGTGCTCGTTCCCCAAAAGTTCTATGTTCGAAACTAGGCGGAGAAAGTACGTTTTATTTGAAGTATGAAGTGGAGGTGTTAGTAGAGTTGATGCGGGTGGCGTTAGGCATCGGTGCCGTTATGTCGGTTTTTATGTGTTTTTTTTTAATACTCGATACAAACTACTGAAAATATTAAAAAATTTTCGCCTTTTAGTACATTTGTCAAAAATCTTGCAGTCGCGGCAAAATGTTTGATAAAACGTGGAATTGCAGTTTTTTCCTAAGAATGACCTAGGTTCAAATAGAGTTTTTGGATCAGGGTACTCCTGAATGGCTTTTACATTTTCAGGATTCGTTTTTGCGCCACGCCTTACAACGAAACCAATTGAGTTTTTCCCTTGAGATTATCATGTTGGCCCCGCATAGACTCCTTACAGCCCAGTCTTTTGCATTTTGAGAAAATATAATGACGTCATCAACGAAAACAGCGTGTTTTACCGATTTGTTCCATAGCTCTTTGGAAGATGCGATCCGCAACCCGACCGGCAATCGTCAAAGTTCATACTTTCCTCCATTAACGGAGAACGGAGTTTTCTTTCTGCTTTTTTGCAAGAAAGATTTGATTTGACTTTATGTCTGAAGTCGGTGACGAGACGATTCTTATTGTATTTGTCCTCGTCATATCCCTTTTGTTTGGATTGTTATAAGGGAATTTTAAAGGGCTTATTATGTTATTCCGGAGTAGGTCTTTGATTTCTCCTTTCACGAAATGGGTATAACTTTGAATAGATTAGTTTGTTCGACGGTGCGAATCGTGGCTAGAACAGCAGTATTGAAAGATAATGCCTCGTTAGAGGTTGAAAGCGCATTTTTCTATTAAAGATCATACTCTTGAGGTCGGTTTTAACCGAATTTGGGACGATTATGTCACCTACATTGGTGAAGTTGACGTCGACGCAGTAATGGTATTTTAGCATCTTGGATGCATTTTTATAGTCGATTGAGTTTCACATTAATTTTACATTAATATTGTAACATTAACATTAAAAGTTGCTCCAACATGCAGGTCGAAACTTATAATGCCGTCGAATGGGGTCAACAAGTTTAACAAATAGAAAGTAAATGGCTTACCAAAAGTGCTCAAACAACATTTCTGGCTGATTTTGTCAGAACCATGGGTGGAATTGACGGTGAATGGGGATTTTACCGTCATTACATCTCCTTTACGGATTTGATGCAATTTTTTGCTCCACCCGTGACAATAAAAAATTGTAGTCTTTTACCAGCCAACCGTCGTTCGATGAACGGTAAAAAATGTTACAGGCTATCATACAGAGACTCAAGTTCGTCGTTAATTCCAACACTTTGTACTTGTGCTATCTTATCGTACTTGGGGGGGATCCCTTTGCACAGTATTATTCACCCGCAGGCACCTCTGACTTGATACAATTTTGGATGAACTCTGCCTTTTTTTGGCTTGTTGCTGAGATAACGCAGCTCTTTAGGATGGCCTATGTATCTCTGGATAAAGCCAGTAAGACGGCAGATCTGCTACAGATTTGATGAGCAGGAAGATCTAGAGGCTAAGGACTAAGACCTCTGACAAATACGTAAAACGCATCTTCTCTAACCTCCTCGTTCAATGAGGCGGCCTTGTCTACGTCGTACGATGCTGCGACCTTGTTGGTGATCAGTGTAAGCTTTCGCTGGAGGCTATCATAGAACTCCATTAGCATTTCATTGTATTGCTTAACTCTCTCTAGGTCCTGTCTTAGGATCCATAGATGTGTTCCATCCGCATATGTGTCGTCTAATCTATCTATCATGGGTCAAAGGTCAACGGTATCTGATAAGACACCAATAGCAATTTCGTTTCTCAGTACCACTGCATGTACGATTGTTGTGCTGCATTTCTCCATGCAGATACTCATGATCACTATTGATCTCTGGGACAGTGTTCATGTGATATTCTTAGTGTTGTCAAGCTCTGAACTGGCTCAAGAACTCAAGAACTGGCTAGCAAATACTTGCGATGATTGTAATATATTAATCGGCACAAGACTTGAACTCGCTCCTTTGGAAACACAGAACAAATGTCACGCAAAAAAATACACACAAAAAAATAACCAAAAGCACATGTCAGCAGCGCCACGCGCACCCATTTTTCCTATACGTGTGCGCACATACATTCAAATTCGTGTATTCTTTTCTATTCGAAGAATCGAAATTGCGATTGAATTGTGCTGAATTATAAGCTGCTACTTAACTTCAAATTTGCAACTCTTCTTGCAAGCGGCGCAGTGGCTTTGTTGGTAGAGGCGGTGCTCGTCAGCGTTTAATCCCTGGGCTCAATCCTCGCGAAGATGAGGCATATTTTATTGTTTTATTTTTTTTTAATTTTGAAGTGGCGGTGTTGGTAGAGCTGATGCGCGTTGCGTAAAAATTGTGGATTCGAATCTTTGCGTGGTAATGTCAGTTTTTATTTATATTTTTTATAATACTCGATACAAGCTATGGAAAATATTAAAAAACGCAGATAGGACTGGGATCAGGGTATCTCCTAGTCGGGCACCCCGACTAGAGTTTTCTCACTTGTTTTTTTCTAATACGCGATACAAGATATTGAAAATATTAAAAAACACATAAGATTGGGAGAAATGTATCTCCTAGTCGGGCAACCTGACTAGAGTTTTATTATTTGTTGAATGTTATTATTAGAATCATAACTGCGATTTAATTTTGTTGTAGATTTATGACCTTTACAAGATAATGTATGCAGTCTTAGAAATGCAATTTAGTTTCCTGGCAGAACCGATTTCGTTTCATAAAATAAAATATTTTTCGGTAGTAAACAGCTGTTGATTGTGAATATGCGAGCTGAAATCATAAGAAAAACTTTTATTCCGATTTTTTAAGATTACACTTTATATGCTTCACTACCTACATATATAACATGTATATGTATAAATAAATACTATGCAAAATGTTTTAAAGAGCAGCTCGGTCTAGTTCGGGCCCTACCGATTAGAGCTTACTCTTTAAGTTATAAATTCGTGTATTAACTCTTCAATTTAATTACAGAAATCCTGACTTGAACTTAATAATAACATAAATTGATTTAGTTTTTGATAGTCATGCACACTTTAAGTATTTTCCTTTAATATTTTTCATTTTTGGGTTTGTTTTGTTTAGAAATCATTAAATAACTTTAAATCTTTTTGGTCTATTGCAATGGTGGGCTTCCAGTCCATTTCGGAATAATCATCAAAATTGGTTGTATCCCCATCATGATGTACATCAGGTAAAATTGGAGGCTGTAATTGACATGTTCTATTTTGATTAAAATTAACTTCTAAATGATATGTGAACTGCTATTATTGAGAATCAGTTCTGCAAATTAATATTTTTGCAGTCTATCAAAAAAAATTCGAATTATTTTAATGGTATGTATTACTTACCATAAGTTTTTTATTATATACATCATTCCAATTCAAGTTCTTAAACCAGCGATGCCTCTTAACGTCATCAGCACCATTCTATGGGTATTATGAAGTAAAATATTAAATTATTTTCCAAAAAAAACGTCAAAAATATGAAATATATATGATCTACGTTTTTAAATGTGCTGTTTTTATTTGCAATCTGTCTTATACTAGACAATAAACTAATTTGTTAACAATAATATTACGTAACCGGATGGCTTGGGCTCCAATGAGATCAATCCATATATTTACCTACTCTACATATTTATATATTTCTGTGGGGCAGGTCTAAAACATGAAATCTTTTGAGTCGCCTGTGGTTGCTTAAGTCATCCAGTAGTCTTAGTGCGTGAGCATTATCGTGGTTATGTAGTTTATTCATGTATCTGGTTGCATATAGTTGTATTTCTTCTTTTACAAGGGGCAGTTTAACTCAATCAACTCTAAACAAGTAAGAAAACTCTAGTCGGGGTGCCCGACTAGGAGATACCCTGATCCCAGTCCTATCTACGTTTTAAAATATTTTTCATAGGTTGTATGTAGCATTAAAAAAAGAAGAAAACCTAATATTACAATAGGACACCAGGACTCTGACTTACGCGCATCACCTCAGCTGACTATTCAAACACTATTCAATCGCAATTTCGATTCTTCCAATAGAAAAGACTTAACACATTCGAATGTATATGTGCAGATGTATTGAAGTATCTGACAGTTTAGTGAAAATGCAGACTCTTTCACATAGTGGTCTTCGCGGCTTTATAGCGACATACCATTTTATAATTTTATAAAAATTTCAGGTCTCAAGCTCTTAAATGTACTGAGATCAACACGTTCATATATACGGGCAGGCGGAAGGACGGTCAAACAGTCAAACACATGGGCATGGCTAAGTCAACGTATGTCGTCGACCTAATCACCTTTTATAGGCTCTTATAGTTTGGCACGCTACCTATGGGCGTGGATATATATTCTATATTTAATATATAATGGATATAGCCATTGGTTGTAACTAAGCTACCTTCAATATACAAGGATGTCAATGATATCAGGGACTGGAAAATACTAGATGATATTACTGGCAGTGACCATGAGTATATCTAATAAGCTTTGATGAATAATAGTCAACAAGCCTCCCAGCGTACCTCTCAACGACATCCCATAGATGGGATATAAATAAATTAGACAGCAATTGCTCAATGAAATATAAAACTAATGACGGTAGAATTCAAAAGTTATCGAAACAGTATGTAATACTTCAACGCCAAAAACTATCACAAGTATAAGGGCAGACGGAAAGGGTGGTGGGACCATGATATCACGGAAAAGGATAGGTATGCATTCAGTGCTGACGAAGACTAACAAGAACACGACGCTCTGGAAATGTTAACAGAAGATACACTGCCGGAGACCCTGCAATTAAAAGCAATAATACAGCCTACTTTTCTTCGAAGAATGTATAACGCATGCCTATAGAAAATTAATTTCCAGAAGCGGAGAAAGAATAGATACTTATCCTCATTAGCAAACGCGACACTAACAAATTATCGGCATATCGACCATTGTTGAAAAAGTTGCCAAAGCTCATAAAACCCAAGCTGTTTGCTGCAGTAGATTTAGCCACGGATAGCACGGCTTAGAGTAGAATCATAAGCTACCTAATCTACGAAAAATAATCTCCTATAAATAGATAGCATGGTAAAACGTCTTTTTTTGACACAATTGCTTTCAGGACATGGTTATTTTCGAAATGACCAATGACGGACCTGATAGCACCTTTATAGACAAAAACAAATTCATCAGTACTAAAATGCCATTTTTCAGTAGATTCCCATCACAATTATATAAGTTTTTCTCCATTGCTTTTTGATGCTTCGTCTAAAAGTACAAACAGCAAATACCTTAACGGCATTAAGTGGACTCAAACAGATTATATAAATTGTAAATTGTAAGTTATAGGCTCACCGGACGTTGGAAATATTTACCGTCAAATTAAAACAAGTAAAAACGTTGCAGGGTGAAGATAAGTATATATTATATAATCTGTATATTATTAGATGAACGCTACCTATTGGAAGCACTGTGTTATATTTTGAACATTTTTGTTGAATGTTACTTGAAATATTTTTTTCGATATTTCACGTTCCAACTATATTTCCTCATCCCATTGAAAATGGGAAATCAGGCTATAATGGTTTTGAACAAATTTATGTAACAGGCAGAAGGAGTCGTGACACACCAGAAAAAGTATATATATTTTTGATCAGGACAAGCCGAATAGATGAGCAGTCAGAGGTTTGTGCGCCCGTCCGTCTATTCGTATGTGTGAACGCGTCGATCTCAGCATCTACGACAACTAGACTTGAAATTTGTTGTAGATCAGGTTTGTTTCAAGTAATCGATAACTATTCCTGTTTTATTGTTATCGATTAAAAACATGATCGAAATATAGTTATTAAATAATCTCATACGGCTTAATAGCCAGAACCTGCAAATTTTATATTTATGTATATTTTTTACAATATTTATTTTTGTTATATATTGAATACCGGCTCCAAATTTCTCAAAATTCTTTAAATTTAAGCTTAACATTCAGATGCTGGGATCGACGGGCAGACGGAATATATATATACTTTATTGGGTCTGCCACGCATCCTCCCGCCTATTTACACAAAAATTATATTTCCCATTTTCAATGGGATCAGGGTATGAACACAGATACCACTAACATATCTAACTGTAAATAAAGTAAATCCTGTAAACTGCAGTTTACGCATCGGCTGCGCTAATGGGATCTAATATGACCTTTATGGTTGAATAACTATTGTTCTAGTTGGATTTAATGGCATTTTGGGAATTTAGCGAAACCTCTGTAATCATTACATTACGAAACCAAGGCTCAAACCAATATTGCCTACGCATCGCGGATCAAGTGTACACACATCGCTTCATAATTTCATAATTAAAAAAAAAAAACTATCAAAAATAACATCCGTTCGGTGCCCGGGATCGAACCCAGCGATTGCCGGCAGCAAGCGCTTCCTCTCCCAACATACCTTAAGTGACAGTTTACAATTCCACAGTAAAACGACGCGTTCACACATACGGAGAGACAGACGGACAGGGTTGAATTGACTCGGCTTGTCGTCCAGGAAGAATGAGGCGTGGCAGACCCCATAAACTATATATATTTTTAATGGAAGAATTTTTAATCATATATATAGTTTATGGGGTCTGCCACGCCTCATTCTTCCTGTTACATACATTTGCACAAAACTCCTTTCCCATTTTCAATGAGAACAGGGTATAAAAATATGTATTCAAATTTAATTATATATATATATATATATATATAGAACTTTAGCTGATGCTTTATTACCAAGCCCGTCTGTAGAAGTTAAATGCTCATAAAATGATTTTACCCTTACCTTCATATTACCCAGTCTCTTTGTTCTATCATTCACCAATAATTTTTTTATTAAGTCTTTTGCAATGGGATCCATATGGCGTTCCCATTCAATTTTACCGCTTAATATCTTTTCATAGATGCCGAATGGCTGCTCATCATAAAATGGCGGATAGCCTACAAGCATTTCATAAATTAATACACCTATAGGCAGATTAATAAGATTATAATACTGTGAAATCTGTGTTAAATGCAACGTACCCAACGCCCACCAATCGACTGCCTTGTTGTGGCCTTTAGATTGTATTATTTCTGGTGCTATATATTCGGGCGTACCGCATAATGTCCATGTCCGATCACGGAGCTTCTTAGCAAAACCAAAGTCAGTTATCTTTATATGACCATCTCTATTTATTAACAAGTTTTCTGGTTTCAAGTCCCGATAGATAATTTGCAGTGAGTGTAGATAATCAAGAGCGCTCACAATTTCTGCTGCATAAAAGTTTGCTGGAAAGAAAAATTAATAGTTTTTGGGACTTTGAGAAATAATTATTCTTACAGGTTTGACTAGAAAACTTCCCCGCATTGCGCAGATATGTGAACAGCTCGCCCCCACAAACATAATCAAAGATCATGTATAAGTTGGACTCATCTTTAGTGGACCATTCTCTGTAAAGTTAAAGATTAGATTAGATTAGTCTGTCATATTGAAATAACCGCAAATGCGATCAAATTGTATTTGAGTTGGCAGCCGCTACTTTAGTTTATATTTACTGAATACCGTTCGAAAAGTGGCGGTGTTAGGAAGGGAAAGTCAGTCTTGCTGTCTGTCCAACTGTACATATGAACGCAAAACTAAAGCTAGCAAGCAAAAAATTTGGAGTAAGTACTTGTTGATAGTCTCGGAATTTATATACTAATATATATATATATATATACTATACCTCTATACATATATACTCGGAATACATATATTATACCCCATCTGGTAAACCCTTCAGATTTTGCCGATACGCCTACGAGGGGCGTGACATATCGAGATAAACTAAATATGCTATATGAGAAACGCAATTTGTTAAAGTACTAAATACTTACAATTTTAAACATATTCGCGTTGACAACCGCAGATTATATAGAGTATGCTTATGGTATGTGGCAAATCGGGTAAACCTGTATATCTCATAGTTTAAAGTTACAGTTATCTGTAAGATTCTATACAAATGAAAAATTAATTTTCCTCGCCAATAAGGGGCGGGAAAGTCTGATCTTTCCCTATATTTATACAAATTCTGCTAGGGACTTAACATTTTGGGTACATACTCGCTGTGTATAGAGCCCACATCTAAAATATATAGATTATTTATAAATGCTCATAGAAGCGTGATAAGCCGCAAAATTCTATATCTTCTTAAGTTTTAGAGCTCGATACTTTGACCCCCTATATAGATGTACAAAAAAATAATGGCATGTTGGAAATAAACCTGTCATTTCCAGAGTTTTGGAGCCTTAACGAAAACTCCTTCTAAGGGACGGCACAACGGATAAGATTGATATTTCGTGCGTAAGGCTCAGTAAGATTCTTTACTCAACATTCTTTACTCAGCATTGGTCATGAGTCGATCCTTAGCTTACCACTCTTACACAGATGGAACCAAAAAAGCATCAATACTATCCGAGGGTTGCAAGAAATGAGAAAAGTCGCTGTGGGATCACCCAAGACATGGTGCGCTATAGGACTCGGACTCAGTTTTTTGTTCGGTTCACTCATCTTACTCATCTAACGACTTAGAAAGAAGACAACTTCGTAGTAGTGGGGAGTAGTTAAAGAGTGCCTTTCGCGCAGAGCAATGACACTTTATTGACAACCTAAAAATGGGTCAGCGAATGCGCGCATTGTGCTGACACATCAGAATTTAGGTGGTCAGCGCCATGATAGCAACGGTCGGCGTCGGCAACATGATACCTTTCCTGTGTTGAAAGAGCAGCGTTATCGCTTGTGTGTTCTATTCTCTGTCGTTGTGGCTTCTAGATTTAAATTCAGTCTTGTACAAACCAATTAATGAGTGACAATAAAGCTACATGCACTCCGGCAACTAGCCGTTAAAGTTCATTTCATTTCATTATTGACATTATGTGGCTGAGCCACAAAGCCAATAAGTGAAAGAGGGCGAAACCAGGCCCTCACCAGAGTCTACATAAGAAGATCACTTCTATCACAACCCTGAGCACAAGCTAACGTCGCTGGTTAATAGTTTAACATCGCGGGAATACGCTTTTATACTATTTTATCGTACATCGCATACCGCGAGAAGAAACTTAAAAATAAATGATAGATAGATTAGACGACACATATGCGGATGGAACACATCTACGGATCCTAAGACAGGACCTAGAGAGAGTTAAGCAATACAATGAAATGCTAATGGAGTTCTATGATAGCCTCCAGCGAAAGCTTACACTGATCACCAACAAGGTCGCAGCATCGTACGACGTAGACAAGGCCGCCTCATTGAACGAGGAGGTTAGAGAAGATGCGTTTTACGTATTTGTCAGAGGTCTTAGTCCTTAGCCTCTAGATCTTCCTGCTCATCAAATCTGTAGCAGATCTGCCGTCTTACTGGCTTTATCCAGAGATACATAGGCCATCCTAAAGAGCTGCGTTATCTCAGCAACAAGCCAAAAAAAGGCAGAGTTCATCCAAAATTGTATCAAGTCAGAGGTGCCTGCGGATAATACTGTGCAAAGGGATCCCCCCCAAGTACGATAAGATAGCACAAGTACAAAGTGTTGGAATTAACGACGAACTTGAGTCTCTGTATGATAGCCTGTTACATTTTTTACCGTTCAGAGATGTAATAACGGTAGAATCCCCATTCACCGTCAATTCCACCCATGGTTCCGACAAAATCATCCAGAAATGTGGTTTAAACATTTTTGGTAAGCCATTTACTTTCTATTTGTTAAACTTGTTGACCCCATTCCACTTCATAATTCAAATATATTAAGAGAACAAAGAAAACGTACTTTCTCCGCCTAGTTTCGAACCTAGAACTTTTGGGGAACGAGCACAACCTCTGCCTATACCATCACTGCACTGCTTGTACAAAGAGTTGCAAGTTTGAACTTAAGATTCTTCGAATTGAAAAGAATACACGGATTTGAATGTGTGTCTGCACATGCATAGGAAAAATGCGTGCGCTTGGCGTAACTTGACATGTGCTTTTGCAATTCCAAGAAATTTGTTTAATAACTTCTGTTTTACTTAATGGATTTGGTAGAGATGCAAACGCCTGCACAGAAATGCCCTATTTCCAACTGAAGTTAAATTTTATGAATTTGGGGAAATTTGGAGCCGGTATCCAAAATATAACAAAAATCAAAATTTTAGAAAATATACACAAACATAATTAAACAATTTAATAACTGCATTTTGATTAGGTTTTTAATCGATAACTATAAATGGGGATAGATTCGAATATTTGAAACTAACTTGATATGCGCGTGCTGAAAACCAAAAAAATGGCAGATCTTATAGATGCCAATTCTCTAGCTCCTTATCACCAAAGACATGGAGCGCTATAGAACTTGGGCTAAGCTTTTTGTTCGGTTCACTCGTCTTACTCATCCTACGAAAGAAGCAAACTTCGAGGGAAATCCAGAACATGTCAACCTAACCATGTGTCAGCGATTGCGCGCATTATGCTGACACAGAGGAATATGTGAGCCTCATGATCGCAACGCTCAGCGTCGGTAACATGATCCCTTGCCTGTGTTAAGTTCAGTCTTTTACGAACCACCTGTTGAGTAACAGTATCTTTATTGCAATCCGGTAAATTACCGTTAAACTTATTTCAATATTGACATCAAATTGCTAAGGCACAAGGCCAATAAGTGAAAAAGAGCGAAGTCAAGCCCCACCAAAATCTTCATAAGAATATCAAGAATTCTATCATAATCCGGACTACGAGCTTACGCCGCAAGACAACAGCATAATTTATACATGTACATGTTCTTGTGATCTTTGTACTGCACTTTTTATTCCTTTTGGGTGCGTTTCCTTATTTTTTTGTGAGAGTTGGACATTGGGCTCTTTTGATATATATATGTACATATATGATTTTGCCACCACGCGCAGTTTTCAATCAGTTTTGTAGCGCTTGTTTGACCGTTTTTTTTCCTACCATTTATTTTTATTATATATTTTAAAATTTTTTATATAGCAAGTGTTATTTTTATTTAATATTCGCACATCAAGTTTGTTTCAAATAATTGATGACTATTCCTATTTTAATGTTGTCTTTTAAAAACTATATTGAAAATCAGTTAATAAACAAAATATTATACATTTCTGGAGCTAGCGGCTCCAAATTGCATGTAGGTGTACATGTATCTTAAAAAAGTCTTAATTATATTTTTTACACCGTCTATAAATTTCTACGAATCCTTTTAATTGAAGTAATATGTGAAGAGTTTTAATTCTTATAAATTTTGACAAATATTTTAATCGAATATGTAGACATGCGGAAAATTTCATTTAAATCCTTTAAGAAAAAAAGATGTTATTAAACAAGAGGATAGGCCAGTTAGCACGAGTCAAAAGCACAAAGCACAAAGACATTCATTCAATATGTGTATTCCTATCTATTTGAACAATCGCAATTACGCAATTTACCTCGTAGTTACATGTTCAACGGTTCGAGCTCTTGTGTACTAATGTAAACGCTAGACACAATCTATGGATAATTTTAAAAAAGCACATTGGACGAGGTTCAGTGTATCTCCCAATTAGGCCTTTCGTATTTGCTTGACATTAAGTTGCGTTAGTGGAGACACGTTCTACAGATTGGCCAAAAAATTATATGTCCACGCCCACTGGAAGCGCGGAAAATTGGGACAACCGTATATTCTAAAATTTAACTCACTATATAACACAATATAACTATACTTGTCCCAGAACTATTCCGAACTATGGCATCAAAATTACCCAAAAGTATATGTCGGGGTGTTAACTAATTGATCGCCTTCCATTAGAATTTAAGACGTTGCAGTTGGCCCAATAACGAATTCCCGGGTTGCTGGGTCTGACAATGACATGATATCCCACCGATACTATGTATATAATACTTACAAAGATATAGTAAATGGGTGACGTATTTCTCGCAATATATTTCGCTCGTTCTTCACGTGTTCAATTTGTTTAAGTCGTATGACTTCTGTCATTGCTAAAATTTTCATTGCACAATATTTGTTGGAAACCTTATCGCGACAGAGACACACACGTCCAAATGTACCGGTGCCTGAAATAAAAATATAAATTATGAATTGGAAAGAGTAATAATCAGTGACTTTATGTATGTACGCATGTACATAAAGTAATAACTATTTCTAACTAAAACTGAATTTGCTGGCTTATACCCTGAACTTCTGTGTGATATACAAGTAAGAAAGCTCTAGTAGGGGTATCTGACTTAGAGAGACCTAAAATTATATGGCTATATATTTTGAAACTTCAGTTGACTTGACGGACATGTCTAGATCGACTTCGCTCGTCATTCTGATGATCGTCCTGTTATAAACATTTTCACAAAACCATGATACTCTCAGTTTCCATTTCCATTGATTTCTTGAATTTTATGTGAATTTAATTTTAAAAACTACAAACCATGTGCATAACCATGTTATATTAATGTGCATTTGCTACGTGCCAATGTGAACGCGTCGGTGACCCTTGACCACGACGGCTTATTTTTTTTACGTTTTTTAATTTAATTTACCAATAATAGATACAAGCTATGGAGAATATTTAAAAACATAGATCGTTCGGACTTCCGACTAGAAAATTCTTACTTGCTTTTTTTTTATAACCTGATTCCATTGAAAATGGGAAATGAGAATTATAATGATTTTGATAAATGTATGTAGCACACAGAAAAAGACGTGGCAGACATGAAATTTTTTTCAAAAAATCAATAACTTAGTTTTATTGTTTTGAATTATAAACATTTCAATTATATGTCGAAAGGAGTGAGTCTCAGGTTTGGACTGAAAATATAAATAAAATTTTTGACTTAAGATGCAAAATGTACAGCCTTTATCAACTTAATAAAAATTTTTAATATACAAAAAATTATAATTATAATCAATTATAATCATAATCAATTATAATCAAATTATTGTCTTGATAGAATTTAAATTTTTATGGCTATTAAACAAACCAATTTTTTTCTCTTTCTCTTTAAATTCATTTTAAAATATTGAGACAATCATGTTGTCTTTATATATGCCAAACCAAATGGACGATTTTTAAATTTTAAACTCAACATGATGATTCTGCTTTCCAAGATAATTAATGCCTTGCGCTATAATCTTAATGGACCATTGATACAGTACAGAAATACTTTTATTTCGTCGAAAAATATGACATTTTCCCAATATTCTGCCAGCTGACAAATCATGATCACAGCAAAATTAAAGCTATTTTCTACATTTACCAATGAAAACAGCGTTTTCTTTAGTGCAACACTTGAAGAGTATCTATGCCGTATGATGACCTGGCGGACTGCTTCATGTGACACATTTAGTTACAGTCTTCTTTAAAGTCCTTGGCAAATGTCCGTACTGATCTTTTCGGACTTTGGTCAATCCTTCCTCTACTCCGGTCGACGTCGGGATAAAATTGATTATTTTAAAAATATAAAGTGACGTTATTGGTAGAGGTGAGGTTGGTTCGAGTCCTGGTGTCTTAATGTCGGGGTTTCTTCTATTTATACCCTGATCCCATTAAAAATGGGAAAACAGAATATAATGGTTTTATGGCATAAAGTATATATATATTCTTGATCAGGACGATAAGCCCAGTCGATTAAGCCCTGTAGGCCCTGTATAGCACGCGCAAATTAAGATTGTTGTATATATTCGATAACTATTCTCGTTTTATTGTTATCGAATAAAAACATGATCGAAATGCTTTTAATAAATTATATCTCGTACGTATTAAGACCTAGAGCTTCGAAACTATTTTTTGTTTTATGTATATTTTAAACAATTTTGGTTTTTGTTGGATTTTGGATACCGACTCTAAATTTTCCCAAATTCTTAAAATTTAAGTTCAGTGGGAAATAGGGCCATTATGTGAAGGCGTCTCTACCAAGCCAATAGAATATGTAGATCATACGCAGAAAATTTCATTATAATCTGTTAAGTAAAACGGAAGTTTTTAAACAAAACGCTTGGCCAATTGGCCATGGCAGCAGCAGCAGCCTTCAAATGCGTGTATTCTTTTCTATTCGAAGAATCGGAATTGCGATTGAACTGTGCTTGAATTATCAGCTGCTACTTAAGATAAAATTTGAGACTCCTTTTGCAAGCAGTACGGTGTTGGTAGAGGCGACGCTAGTAAACGGTTAGTCCTTGGGTTCCAACTTGGCGGCGATGGGACATTTTTAATTGTTTTATTTTTTAATTGTGAAGTGACGGTGTTGGTAGAGTTGATGCGTAGAAATTGTGGGTTCGAATTGTGGTGTCGAATTTTCGACTTTTATAGGTTTTTTTTTTTTTTTGAATACTCGATACTACAATACGATAATACAAACTGCGGGAAATATTAAAAAACGCAGATCAGCGCTAGACTAGAGCTTTCTTACTTGTTTAAATCTGTATTTTCCACATTTTCTGAACTAAGTCACTGAAGACGCTATCTTCAGATTGATTATAAAATTATAAAAAACGTATGTTATATCATGTAAATGTTGATGGTTGTGAAAAAGAATACATTACTCACCAACGGTTTTGATAATCTGAAAATGATCAAGATGATATTTACGCCCACCCTTTTCCGTTAGATTGCTACTACTCTCTCCGGATTCATTGTCAGTTTCCTCGTCATCTGTATCATTTCCGTCATCTTGTTCGCTCCTATCGGAGTCCTCAGTATTAGTGATGTCATCTGCATCATGACTTTCGTCCTTTTCACCATCTACGGTTTCATTATTCATGGATGTTGTTGTGACGCTGCTGATACTATGACTGTTGGCACTGACATGTGTGTTTTCCACCTGTTGCGCCTTTTCATCTTCGCTTTTCTCACTGTAATCAGATTCTACGGGATCTGAAGATTCACTAGAGTTCACACTAAGATCACCGCTCACGTCGCTGCCAGTTGTTCGTCCCAATTTAAATGTAAATGTTGCCTCTGTGTTTGTGTTATTTGTTGAAGTTCTTGTTGTTGGAATTTGTTTCTTGTTATGTAGCGCTGTCAATTTTATCATGTGTGTTTCGGTTCCTGCTATCAGTTTTGACGAGGAACCGTTTTTCGATGGTGGAAAATTTTTGCTCATACCTGTGAACGGTGTACAAAGTCGCGCAGAAGTTGTAGTCGACATAAAACATAAAAACAATCCTTTCTTTTAACGATTTATTCTATAACGAAACAAATTTAAGCTAATGTATATCTAATTAAATATAAGTATATAGATAAACCTGGCATTAGTATTTAGACAATGAAGTCTAAAGTATTCACAAATTTCTGTTTACTTTTGGATTTTTTTGAACACATGCAATTGTTAGCTTTTGTTGCAACAATTCGAACTATTTGAAAATGTATTAAAAAGAGTGAAAATTGAAAATAGCAAATTTAGCATCATTCCTTAATATGGTATACAAGAGGCACAAACATGTCGTTTACAAATTTTAGAAAATTTGAAGACGTTTTAAAATCTGTTTGTTAAAGAATATTATTGATCAGAACGACAAGCCGAGTCGATTGAGCCCTGTCCGTCTGTCTGCCCGTCTGTCCGTATGTGTGAACGCTTCGATCTCAGCATCTAAAAGATCTGACATTTTTTTGGTTTTCAGCACCCGCATATCAAGTTTGTTTCAGATATTCGAAAACTATTCCCGTTTTATTGTTATCGAATAAAAATATGATATAAATGCAGTTATTTAATTAAATCTCGTACGGCTTAAGAGCTAGAGCCTTCAAACTTTTAAGTATATTTTATGCAATTTTGATTTTTGTTGGATTTTGGATACCTGCTCCATATTCTCCCAAATTCTTTATATTTAAGAAATAGGGGAATAGGGACATTATGTGAAGGGATTGCATCTCTACCAAGCCAATAGAATATATAGATCATATGCTGAAAATTTCATTAAAAGCCATTTAGTAGAACAGAAGTTATTAAACAAAACGTTTGGCCAATTTGCTAAAACACACGTCAAACAGCGCCAAGCGCACGCATTTTTCCTATATGTGCACAAATGCATTCCTTTCAATTCGAAGAATCCCTGATTTTTATTTTTTTTGATAAGGAGTGACGGTATTGGTAGAGTTGATGTGCGTTGATAGAAATTGCGGGTTCGAATCTTTGTGACGTAGTGTCGATTTTTATTGGTTTTTTTAATACTCGATACAAACTATTGAAAATATTAAAAAAACGCAAATAGGACTGGAATCAGGGTATCTCCTAGCGGGCACCCCGACTAAAGCTTTCTTAATTGTTTGGATCTTTTTTTTAACGTGAGTTTGTATTCCAAATTTCAAGTCATTTATATTATAACTAATAGAATTGATATGTCAATAGGTATATTTTCTGATTTGTCAGTATATATTTTCAAAATTCCCAGTCTTACGGACGGATGAACAAACTTATTCTCCATTTCGATCCGTAATGGCGGTTATGTCTTAAAAACTTATTATTTACAACTAAGGACATGTATTAATTATTCATAATTTATTATTAATTTTAATAAATTGTGAACACCATTAAATTATGTTTTTAATATTACGGTTGTTTTACGATTTTGTAGACGATCCTATAACTGACTTATTTTTATCCATACAGAATTGGAAATTATTTGATCACTTTTCTAAAACTTCGAAATAAGATTAATTCTTAACAGATGACAATGAATAAAGTCAGTGTCTAAGCAATTTTACAAAAGTTCTATATATAATCGATACAATAAAAGTTAATAAATATACTTCAGTTTTCTAATACTTGCGATTTATATGCTGCGTTTTTTTTACCAATCCGTCAGCACAAGCAGTTTCAGATATGTACATATGCATGAAAGATACACAAAAAACGTACATGTATGTATATCTATAGATGAAAATCCATATACATACATATATGCTTATACGCAAATATAAGCCAGTTTGGAAAGTTTCTCTTAGTCATGCGCTTTCCATACATTCTTGTTACACATGGAAATATTGAACATTAACCACATCTACACGCATGCAATCATTATCGAACACATGCTCGTCCGATTAAGTGCGAACTAGTGCTGCAAATGTAATACTCTGTAGGAAAGTAAAATTAACACAGAAATTAATATACTTAGAGACACTAAACAAAAAAATCACAAATTTTAAATTTTCACCTAACTGACATTGTGTTAGTAATAAAGTATAGCGTAGCGAGAGATAGTGACTATTATTTGTTTTGGTTTTCTCAACGATCAGATTTATTTTTGCTATAAGTCGTCTCTCGGTATGGCGTATAGCTGACGGTACAGTTCAGAATTTTCTATACGTTGCGCTGGAACAAAATTTCAACGGTTGCGAAATGATTAAAAATAAATATGTTACTTTAGCGCGCACGATTTTGCTTTTGCATTTTTATTTTGTCTGGCAATTTTCTTTGCCCACGAACAAAAATAAACACGCGTTGTTTGGCTGACTGAGATACGTATGTAGGTGTTGGTTTACGAATATGTGTTTATAGGTATATGATTAATACCACTTAAAACTAACATTACAAGGTTCTTTTGAATTTTATTAATTTTTCGGTCACTTTTCACGTCTCTTTGCTGTGTACTTTTTTCCCATCCCGACGACAACATCAACAACTAAATATAATACTAAATTCCACGCATTGAGTCGTGCTTTCATGATAGTCGATGCAATTGCGATTGCAATTATAAAATGAAAATGATCAATTTTGTTTTATTTATTATTTATTTTTACCAATGTAATTTGTGTATCAATCTTATAAATATTGGAAAACAAAAGAGATTTAACCATCCGCTTCCACGATTTCCAAGAGACTGTAAAATAAAATTCCCAAATTGGCCGCTAACAGCCAACGTCGTCGTCGGTTGCGGAGACTGGCGTGGATGGCGAGGATGATGATGAGTTTAACTGAGGTGGTGCCTAAGATGCTGAAAGCTGGTATTTGCTCTTGGCCATGTGCGGCAACATGAATCTATTCGCGGGAGCAAGTTTTTCTTACTATCTGCCGCATGTCATTGTGTCTCTTTCTGTTGTGCAACAAGTTACTCTCTGGTTGGTTCATATGCGGTGTATAAAGTAAGGAGCACTTTCTTTCATGCATTACAACTACAAGAATTTTAATTTCAATAAATGGGAAATAATAAAATCAAATAAGATCATTGGACCCCACTACTAATCATAAAACTCACGGATGGGTACACACTTTTTCAACGCATAAAAATTGATCACTAGGTCCCATCAACTTCGTATTTTCTCGGGTCCCCTACTTTTAGGTTCGTTTAAGAATCCGAAATGGTCGATTCTCACATAAAGTCCAACTAAACTCATTTTTTACTTACGGTTCTCTGCTCTCTCAAATATAAATGTAAATGTATATATAAATATATATAATAGATATATATATATATATATATATATATATATATATATATTTATATTTATATGTATGCACAGGCAACAGTACACAAATTTTTTCAACAAGTCGCATTTTACTCGTCTGAAAGAAAAGTACACAGAAATCATGAACGAGTTTGTCATTATCATGAAAATTCTTATCGTTATTATTATTTGTGGAAATGGTAGGAAGGCGTTGATGAGCATCAATATAAATTTATTCTACAAGCTTTCACACACACTTATACCTTGTATTATCCAATAGATGAGCATTTATGTGCGTGTGTGCGATATTCCCGATATTCTAAAATAATTTGAACTGGGTCGGTCTCGTGGACTGCACACATAATAATATACATACATACATATATAAATTTTATGGGTGTTTGTAGGTTTGTCGCGAAAAAGTATATTTTATGCTCATCAACGCTCTCGTCCCCTTCCCACAAATAATAATGAAAATGTGCAGATTTTTTATTAACATGGCGAATTCTTTCTTAAATTTTCTTTACTTTTCTTTCAAAAGGGTAATATGGAAACTCTTGGTAAACAAATTTCAATTTTCGTGCACTACTGCTTGTGCATATATACATACATACATGTGTATATTTGCGAGCGGAAGGTAAGAATACAAATTGAGCTTATCGAGAAAATTTCGGTTAAGCGTTTCAATTGTACTGATGTTGACATACAATTTTTGTTGATCGAACCTAAAAGTACGCGACCCGAGGGAATACGAATTTTTGTTGGTATAACCACTGTTAAATTACTGTACGATACACGAGGAGCAGTTCAGTTAATTGTAATGTTAACTAACAGTTCAATTGTGACGCCACGGCACTAGAACAGCACAGAAAATGAAAGTAAAGTATTTTATTACGAATTCTAATAGCAATAAAATGTTAGAAAGAATTGTTAATAGGTGCATATAATTGAGTTATTGTCATGAGTAATGCTTATTTCAATCAATCCATCTAATAACATACATAGAATACATGTAAAAGGTACATCCATACATCTGTTGCTTATAGCGGTAGTTGTAGCATTAATAAAAAAAATACAAGATAATTACGTATGATAATCGGTAAAAGTCGTAAAACAAGGAAATTTAAATCTATAGATTATCGGCAATACTGACTGGTTTAACAGCATAATACACTATATATTGGGTAACAGTGTCAAATGAGTATTTTTGCAAATGTAGAGATGAGTAAATCATCGATTTGCCTTTCCATATCGCATTCTGATACATATCGTATATTGATATTATGTTAGATATGTGCGTCGATAATATAATTATATATTAAAAATATGAATTAACGAAATAAATTCTAATCGAAAAGTATGAGAACAATTATGATAAGTTCAAAATTTCTGCAGCAAGCATTTCAATTGAATATGTATTGTCGGTTGTTCCATCCAATTGCCTCCAATGTTCTACGCATTAACCGATATACATATATTTCATCAAAATTAAGAAAGTTTAAAATCTATTCTAAACATATCAGCCCTGAAAGTTATTCGGTCTTAATAGACGATTGAAAGAAACATTGTGCAAAGCTTGCAAAGTTCGGAGGCTTACATTAACAATATATGGTTGGAATTTAAATTTAACTTTACTCAAATTTCGTAAAATTTATCCACTGTACAACTTTGTCAGCTGTTTGGAACTTCAACAATGTTGACATATGGCAACGCCAGAATTTGATTTCATGCAAATAATGTCTTATTGACCAAACAATAATATACACATTGACTGCTTTTTACTTAATTTTTCCAAATACGATGTTTTCGTTAGAAAAAATTAATAATAAGTTACTGCGTGACATTAACAAATCTTTCAAATGTGAAACAAACCAACAGTAACGAAGCTACTATAATAAAAAGCTTTTAAAAGCTTACCACGCTAAAGTAAGTACGCTTCTTTTAGTTTCATTGGGTCGTTTGATGGTTGCTTTGATCTTTTCCTCATATTGTGCGTGAATATATGATTTTGGTGCTTGTTTCACAGCGACAACACAGTTTACGTACATAAATTCACCTAAGCATTTTCATATTTATATGATTAAAAGTACATTTACATGTATTTATTCATGTAAATAAGTAGATAAGTATACATATTTATATGAAGAAATTTACATACATACATGTGTATACATGTATGTAGTTTCTTTTATTTAACAGCAAGCCAAAGGTTAAATAACAAAAGACAACTTTAGATTTTATTGCTAATTTTTGTTGTTTATGTTTTATATAAACAAAATGTTTATATTGGCTAACTAAATTTTTTAGCTTTGAAAAGCCAAATCAAACAACATCCGAAACTGACTTAGTCATATATGAAACTCAATTTGATCAATGCACGCGCACAATTCGTGCTAATCACAAGTTTATTGGCTACAAGTGTGAAAACAATTCCAACAATAGCAACTACAACACTCAATACAAGCACACATTGGTTGCTATCAAACGTTGAGGATGACAACATTGAAGAACAATAACCTCCCAAATAATTGATTAAGTGAGCATTATTTATAGTCTATATATTATATAAATGTATATTTTAATATTTGTGTTCTTTTATCTGGAAACTCTGATTTCAATATGCATATGCTTATCAATATTAAATTCTCGTCATTAGAATATTGTTGACATACAAATAAATCACATATCTGCTATGACTTCTAGAGCATTAGCTTGCCGGTGTGGATTTAATTCTGATTAAAACGACTCTTGTTTGATTGAAAGAAAAGATTATCTTTAGCATGCCTGGAAACCTTTGATTTTTTCATACAAAAACATTATTTTCAACCGATAATTCAGTTTTGCGCACTGCCTTTAGCGAGCAACATATAGAAGGGAATAATCGGACAAGAATTCAAATAATGTTCTTTAAATATTGGTGTGCCTTTTATTTAACAATAATATAATTCGATAAGATAAGTTAAAACAACTATTTTTTTACTTAAACAAATTTATAAAATTTATAAAGAAGTCTGTCAATTCTACGTAAATTATACTTATTTCTGAAGTTGCATAACTTCTGTGTCTGTTTAACCAACCAAATGTTATGCTCTACATTGGTACATTCGTATACCTTGAACCCATGGGAAGTACGATTTTATAATGGTTTAAAAGATTGTAAAGGCATAGAGACAAGACAATTTAGCCATGTTCGTCGGACCGTGAAAGCTAAGCTACCTTGTTAACCACAAAGGCCAAAGACTTGAAAACAGTATGAGCTTATAATTTTTGTTCGATAATGCATCCCATTCCGTATCGTTTAATATCAAACATTTTAACGATTAGTCCATGGGCTCAATCCTCGCGGCGATGGGACATTTTTTATTATTTTATTTATGTGTTTTAATTATTATACTCGATACAAACGACGGAAAATATTAAAAAACGCAGATTAGACTGGGATCAGGGTATCTCCAAGTCGTATTGATCGCCTCTAGCCCACATAATTTTAATATATGTCAGACCTAACATTAGGACGAAAAGAAATTCTGTGATATAAATTAATCTACGCGTCTTTAAACGTAGAGGACTGTGAATACACTTGACTGTGGTGACGTTCAGTTATGTAATGATCCTTATTCCTTATTTCCACATTTTGCGAAATTCCTTGAACTTCCACGTTCCGTTTATTTCGGCGCAATTTTAACTGTTATGCGGCTTCTTCAGATATTAAGGTTTTTTGCGTGTCTCAATCTATAAGAGCTGCTCGTATTTTCCATACTTATTTTTAATCTGGATGAGCGCAGTTGCCAGCAACGTATCTTGCCCTTTATTTTCATTATGAAGCAATCTGTTGTGTGCTTTGATTGCAAGTCCAATTCTTTTTGCAATGTTCAATGCTACGGGTGCCAAGACATTTATACACAAACTCCTTGCGCTTATTAACAGGTTCAGCTCTATCCCTCTGACACTTGGTTATGTCATGTCCAGGTGTCCAGGCGCCTCATGTCCATCGACGTATGGACGACATTCATTTCCACTGAGTCTATAGTATATAGTTGCTCAATAAACTCGAGCACATTATCCAAGGACTGAATTTCTCTAGTCTTCTTTACATGTTGCTCGTAAAGTTGTAGGACTTCCGTAGAGAATCGTCGCAACAGAATCTGAGCACGTGAGTTTCATTACCAAATTAACCTTTTTCTTTGATGATGAAAATGCATTCTGTTGCTGTGTCCAACAACTTGCGGACACTGCCTTCATCATTGTTCTTCAGCAGTTCCATGTCCATTAGCAGGTTAACTGCGTTTGCAAATATTTTGCGCTTATTTTCGTAGCGCTTGCATATTAGTTCCCACGCTGCTTTGTAGTTAGCAGACGAGCCAATTAATAAATGGTCTACGACCATTTTGGCTCCTCCTTTGAGGCATGATTGCAGGTTGTTCAGCTTCCTTGTGTCGCTGATATCTTTCCTGTTGTGAATCACCTCAGAAAATAGTCCGAAGAACGTTGGCTACTCTTTGGGACTTCCATTAAAGTGAGGTAGAACGTTTTCTCTGGAACGTCTTCTTTTATGTTTGACAGGTCGCCCACTCTTCTGCTTAGTTGTCTTGTGAGTATGGTGACATTGCATTTCAGCTCATCGATATCAAAGGCAAATTTCTCTTATTTTGTCTCTAAATCCGTGAGCGTTGACTGGACTTTGTTCCACAGGAAAATCAACTTGTCATTATAGTCAAGGATTTCTTCCTGGCTGCTGTGCTCTAAATTGGCATACACTTCTTGCATGTGTTGCCATGCTTTTAGAGCTCGTCTGTCCACAAGGTCTACCATCACATCCATTGGGCTCGAGCTTTCCCGAGAAAATATTATTTCCCGCTTCCTGTGCTGTGCCTTGGATGTCTTTGTTCCTGATGTTCGTGATGTTTTCCATTATGCCATCATATATTTTATCCTTAAAATATTAATGGTCGACGACACCGATTTTAATCAGCGTTGGATGATTGGCAGTAAACTCTTCTGCCAATTTATCAATGAATGGTAACGCATCCTTGTTCGTGATGCTCTGCCGGATCTTGTAATAGATCTCTGATTGCTGAGCAATTCAAGAGTTCTTGCCGACAGCATTTTGTTTGTATTGTTTGTGAAAATTGGTTCTTGATTTAGTCTTTGGCTTGACCAGTTGGAGGTGTTTTTGTTTTGGTCGCCTGGTTGATCGTGCTGTACCTCTACTCACAGCTTGAACTGGCAAGCCAAAGAAAATTGCTTGAACAATTTTTCACTTCACTTTTACACTTATCACAAAACGTAGCCTTGCAGATTTTACTCGAAGGACCAATGTGAGTACACTTACTGTGATGTTATTTAGTCGTGTATTCTCCGGATCGAAGGACCAATGAGACTACTTTTGACTATGATGTTATTTAGTCTTGTATTCTCTGGCTCGAGAGACCAATGTGAAAACACTTGACTGTGGTGGCATCCAGTTATGTAATGATCTTTATTCATCTGAGCTAGAATATACCCAGGCACATGCGTATTTCATCTTTTAAATCTAGCTTATCAAGTGCTGACTGTGTCAGAGCTCGTATGGCTAACTTTAAAATCTAAGCATGTACTTTGATCTATTCCTATTGCACTCCCTGCAAGTGGTTGAGTGCGTACACGACATGCTTAGAATTCTTGAATATACTGTATGTTCATGCCTGAACAAAGACTCTACTGTTTTTTACAGCATTTAAATAAGAACAAATTTTTTTGTACTATGGCTTATATATATACAAATATATACTTATATTTGGAAAGGGTATACATTTGTTTTGCGTCTAGCATCTACCAACTAGTTTCTGACTCTAAGTCCAGCCTGTTGTCATAATCGTAATTTTGTGGGGAAGCAGCTAGCGAATTACAGCATAACCAGGAAAGCACAAGCTTTAATGTTGATATTCCGGCATATGTAAGGGGTCAGTTAACCGCCACTGACCATCGTAAACAACACCTGATGCCGAACTGTTACATTCATTGTGTCAGCACCAACCGACAAATGCGGCTGTGTGCGAGGGAGCTTCGTTAATTGTAACTTAACTATACACCTCTGTTGATGGAATCGTGACCTAATACTGTTATATAAGATTATTATAGACTAATAGACTTGTTTATATTACCCAAACTGTCAGGTAATATTCTAAGAACCTAGCTTTCTTTTAAAAACTGTAGAGGTACATAGAGTATTCGTCAGACTTACTGAATCATTTAGAATAGAGTGTCAAATCGAAAAACGCTCTGCCAATCAACAATCTATTATTTATTTTGTATACCCTGATTGATCCCATTGAAAATGGGAAATCAGGGTATAATTGTTTGGTACAAATGTATGTAACAGGCAGAAGGATGCGTGGCAGACCCCATAAAATATATATATATTCTTGGTCAGGACAACAAGTCGAGTCGATTGAGCCCTGTCCGTCTGTCTGTGTGTTCGTCCGTCCATTCGTCTGTCCGTATGTCCATATGTGTTAACACGTGGATCTCAGTATCTATAAGAGCTAGAGACATGAAATTTTTTTTTGTAGGTCCGTGTATAGCACGCGCATATCGAGTTTGTTTCAAATATTCGATAACTATTCGCATTTAATTGTTAACGAATAAAAACATGATTGAAATGCAGTTATTAAATTATATCTCGGACGTCTTTTGTATTTAGTTTTATGTATATTTTATGCAATTTTGATTTTTGATTTTTTCAAATATTTGATAACTATTCGCGTTTTATTGTTAGCGATCTAGAGTCGCCAAATGTTAGAATACCACACACAAGTATTAGCATAACTTTTTTGAATTATTATATTTATATATATATATTTCTATATTATGTATAAATTTAAATGATACATTTTCGAGCATTCGTATTTTTATTCATTTATTACTGTTTTTTCATCTCTTATAGAACACTTGACAGGAAATGTGTTCAATATAAGCTGTATGCTTTAAATCAGAGAGAAATATTACAGCTCAATTTTATGTTCCTTTGTAACGGCGGCAATTAGTGTTTTAAAATCCATACGGAATGTATAGAAATTCAACACATACAAAAACCAGGGATAAAAACTAACGAAGCTCTCTTCCATAATGCCCATTATTCGGGAAAATGCAGAGTAAGTTTTAATTAATCTACAATCACACGATTGAGCTAATATTCAGCTTTTATCAATTGATTTTAGAACTAAGCCTCTTAATATCAATGACAATAATAATGGAAGCGCTAAAAATAAACCCAAGATACATCCAAAATACAGTATACATAGAGATGTGCTTACTCACGAGGTAGTTATCCGGGAAACTGGGTATTCGGCAAGAGATAAGAGTATTCCCTCTTCTTTACGTAACTTCTGGAGTGGTTGGAACTTGCTATCAATATTTACCGGTCTTATACCCATTCTACAATGGTTGCCTCAGTATTCGCTCAAGCGGGACCTCGTTGGTGATATTATATCAGGATTTACAGTTGCTATTATGAATATACCTCATGGCATGGCCTATGGAATTCTGGCCGGTGTTTCTGCAGGGAATGGTCTCTATATGGCTGTCTTTCCAGTGATTGTCTATATGTTTTTAGGCACTTCCAAGCACATCTCTATTGGTACATTTGCTGTGGCCAGTATGATGACGCAAAAAGTGGTTCTAGCCTATGCAAATGTTGATTCTAACGATCTAATTGTTACGACAACGGCAGATAATAATGCAACGTTAACAACAGTGCTGCCTTTAGAGAATGTTATCACGCAGTTGGACGTGGTTACCTCACTTGCGTTAGCTGTTGGCATTGTAAATGTAAGTTAAAATCAGTCTTAAAAAGTAAGTGCTCTAGTCGGGACTGTCCGACTAGAATATATCCTGAATTCTGCGTTTATATTGCAATCATTTTTTTTACAATTTCATTTTTGAATAGCTTTTCTTTTCGATGGACTTTTTTATTCATATTTACAGACCGTAATAAGGACATTTATATGTGTATTGTTGAAACATATGTGTCTGGTATTTCAAAATAATATTTTTATAAGTTTATATGGAAGGTAGGAAGGTATCCACAACCAAAATAAACTAGATACTTGTATTCATTACAGAAACCTGCACGGTAACTCAAGCGACGCTTAAAAGTAATAATATAATAATAATGACGTGGAATGAGTAATCAAAAAAATTATAATCTTCTAATGCGTATTATATTAACAAGTATAAATTTAAAATTTCAAAGTTCTAGTTTTAGTGGCTTACGAGATCGCTGGGTTCATACGTCTTCCTGATCTAGGATATATACCTTATCGATTATACTCTGAGAACTAGAGTTGAATGAAAAAACTAGACGTTTTTATTATTATTATTATTCTTGTGATTAGATTAATTTTAGTAATAATTGTCATATGTCTATTTTGTAGTATTTTGCAATTGACAAAATTATTAAAATACATATAACAGGCCGAAAGTGTAGTGGCCGAACCTATAATGCATATATAATGTTGATAATAAATGTTCGTAATGTTTAAAAACTAAGTCATCCCTAGATTGCTTTAAACAGTTTTGCACAGGATTAAATATATCGGATAATCGAATACTTGTGACTATAGTAATTTATTTCCTTAAGTTAAAATAATTTATATATTCATTTTATCTATATTATCTTTCGTTTCAGTTGCTTATGTCCTTTTTTAGGCTGGGTACACTTGCTTCCTTGCTCAGTGAACCACTAGTTAGTGGTTTCACAACAGCAGCAGCCTGTCATGTGGTCACCGCACAGCTCAAAGACGTTGTAGGAATAAGAGTTGACCGTCATAAGGGAGCTTTTAAAATTATTTACACTCTGATCGATGTTATAAAAGGTCTGTCAAATACAAACCTTGTTAGCTTCGGCTTCTGCATGGGAGTCATTATTTTTATGACCATTTGCAATGAGTGCATAAAACCGTATTTAAATAAACGATGCCACTTCCCTATGCCCGGAGAGCTTATAGTTGTGATTGGTGGAACATTGATCTCAAAATTTTGTCACCTATACAAAGAGTTTAATGTACAGTTGGTTGGTATAATCCCAAAAGGGCTGCCAAGTGCTTCATTACCACGCCTCGATCTGGTCCCCTTGGTTGCCGTCGATTCTATAGCTATAGCAATAGTGACATATTCTATTATTATGTCCATGGGCTTGACGTTTGCTAAGAAGCATGGCTATGAGGTTCGCGCCAATCAGGAACTCTTTGCTATGGGTGTGGGTAATGCTGTCGGCAGCTGTTTTTCTTGCATACCCTTAGCCTGCTCTTTGTCGCGTTCAGTTATACAGGACCAAACAGGCGGAGTCTCTCAAATAGCTTCTTTGGTGTCTGCCACACTTGTAGTTGTTACATTGCTTTGGGTCGGACCTTTCTTCAGCGATTTGCCAAGGGTATCTATATTAAATCTTAATCAACTCGCAGCTTATTATTAAATATAACTATCTCTTGCAGTGCGTTTTGGCTGGCGTTATTATCGTGGCATTAAAACCTATGTTTATGCAGATAAAACAGTTAAAAAAGTTCTCTAAGCAAGGCAAACTCGAAATGTTCACCTGGATATCTACATTCTTATGTGTAGTGCTCATTGACATTGATATTGGGTATGTAGCATCGAAATACACACATATATACTATTTATTTATATTATTCTTTTTTAGTCTTCTTATTGGAGTTTGCGTGTCTTTATTAGCATTGTATATTAAGGGATTGAAGCCTTATTATTGCCTGCTGGGCTATATGCCAGAAGCGCCTGGAATCTATATGGACATGAATCAACATCGCAATGTAATGCAAGTCTCAGAAACGCGTATCTTTCGGTATTGCGGATCCCTCAATTTTGCCACAAGTCTGTTTTTTCGTCGTGCTCTTTATACAGCAATAGGTCTTGATAAAATCAACCAAAAAACCACCCGAAATAGCAAAGCAACTACAAATTACGTCCTTGTAGCTGAAAATGGTGGCAAGCTAACAAAAAGTGAAATAGATGACAATACGTTTCAATTTCTAATACTGGATCTTTCCATGCTGGGCCACATCGATGTTGCCGGTTGCAGCACATTAAGTGATGTTAGCAAGCAGTTGAAATTACGTAGTGCTCGTCTGCTATTGGCTAGCCCCATGGACCGCGTCTACGACTCGTTAGTACACAGCATGGCTCTGAGCGAAGGTCCATTTGAAATTTTTCCAACATTGCACGATGCTGTAGAGTATGCGATTGCGTTTCGTACAGCGTAAAATCCTAAGCTGACTGTGAAATAGTCTACTAATTTAAGAAGCGTGCAGTAGCTTTTTTTAAACTGAGACTTTTCTAAAGTGCCTTAGCCTAAGTATCAATGTTACCTATTATGCTAATGCCAAATACAAAACTTTTTTGTACTTAATGTCCTAGAGGAAAGGGTTAGCTGGTCAGTAACAATAAATGCAATGAATACCTCCGAGCAACACAGCTGTATTTGAATATGTCGTATGAAATGTATATAAAATTGATCCATTTTACTAATTCCTCATATAAAACAGGTAAGAAAGCTCTAGTCGGGGTGTATCAAGTATTAAAAAAAAAACAAATAACAATCGACATTACGAGAACAGGATTCGAACCCAGATTGTTTACGCAACGTGCACCAACTCTACCAACACCGCCACTTCATAATTAAAAAATAAACAACTAAGAAAAATCTACCCACAACGCGTACGTAACGCGCATCAACTCTACCAACACCGCCACTTCATAGTTATAAAAGAAAATAAAACAATAAAAAATGTCCCATCGCCGCGAGGATCGAACTCAGGGACTAATCGCTAACAAGCGCCATCTTTGCTTTTGCAAATTGCTTTTGCAAATTGGCCAAACGTTATGTTTAAGAACTTCTGTTCATGAAATTTACAGCATATGCTTCACATAATGGCCCTATTTCCAACTAAACTTCAATTTTAAGAATTTGGGGAAATTTGGAGCAGGTTTCTAAGATTAAACAAAAATCAAAATTGCAGAAAATATACATAAAACTAAATACAAAATTTGGAAACTATAGGTCTTAAGACGTACGAGATATAAATTATGAACTGCATTTCGATCATTTTTTATTCGATAACTATTAAATGAGAATAGTTATCGAATATATTAAACAAACTTGATATGCGCGAGATTGCCACGTTCACACATACTGACAGACGGACAGGGTTCAATCGACTTAGCGAAAATGCTTTATGAAATAAATAGTGCAACTTCACATGATTTTTTACATAGTGCTGGAATGATCGAATATGCATATAAATTGGTTTATTCGAATTTACTAAAATCAATAAAGAAACCTGCCATAAGATTCGTACCATTTATCAGACTTGTCTTCGTCGCCAATGTGACTGACAAAATATAGCGTTTACATTACTAGGATATACAAACTGACTCCGACAAACTCAGTCAATTTTATACTGTTGTAATTGTAAGAAATAGAGATACAATTTAATGAATTCCAATATTACTTATTCAATAAGTTGAAAGGGGTACACCCTAAGAAAATCAGCAATGCTTATACACGAACTAAGAAAACTTGCACATCATCCAGCACAACAATAAAAAGTTGTATTAAGGTATAAAAATATTATAATGTGGAAAATCGTAATGATTTGGATGTAATGGTCCATTGCGGATTCTTTGGTTTATACATTATTTCCAATTTAACTATCTTGATTTAAAATGTTTTTTGTGAACTTTCAACATAACTTTATTGTATGCTTACATCAACACAAAAATTCGATATACAGTCATCGATTTAAAAGTTGCTGAACAAACTACTACCTATTAAGTACGCTCTCTGAGAATGCATTCATTTAAACTCTATCGTCACGTTCAATCAACGCTCTGACAAAGTGCAATTAACTGCTGAGTAATGACAAAGGTTAATTCAACATTATTAGTCATTGGGTCCAATTTGTTTTTAGACCCTGAACTAGTTAGGAAAGGGAAGTCAGACTATAATATTCTTCAAAAATGATATGTAACAGAAAGAAGGAGGCATGGCACACCCCATAAAGAACATATTCTCGATCAGGACGACGGGCTGAGTCAATCTAAGCATGTGTGAAATTATAAATATATATGTCTACCATATACCGAACACCCTACTACCAAACGGAGTTTGTAATTTGTTAGTTTATCATTTTTTTGTATAATCCATTTATTTTATTATTATTATATGGATACTGCTGTGATAAAAATTTTGCTTTTTACTACTTTTTTTTAAATACAACGTGCTTCCGATTTACGTAGCTGATAGTTGTACAAATGGATACAAATAGTATAATTACAAAAATGAGCGGCTTACAGGAAAATAAATAAATAAATGGTTAAGTTCATTTTTAAATCCATTATATTGATCCAGATATAGTTGATTGGGTTCAGACTTATTTGAGGTATATGTTGACATTGATGTGACAAATGATCAAATGCACATGCATTAAATTACTTGCGAAATACCTTGAATGACTTATTTTTGATTATGTCTTAACTCTTAATAGGTAAATTAATTAGATTAAAATATTGAATGTATCTCTTAAATAAAAGCATAATATTCCATTTACTCACTTTTACATACTCACATACCTATTAAAGGAGAGTTTTTTAAATGAAATCAACACGTTATGATACTTTTATTGAAATATACTAATATCCTATTTAGCCTTGTTCCAGTCGCAGAAACTATTTATGCATGACATATATCACGATTGACTTTTGGTTTGGGTTATTTACTTGAACATGGCGTCAACTTAATCTCAATTAAATATATTCGAAAAGAAAAGAATGCACGCAATTGAATATACGTGCGCTTGATGCCGCTTGCTTCGCGCTTTAGCTAAATGTTTGGTTTAATAACATTGGTATTATTTAAAGCATTTTATTAAAAATTTCAGCAAATGATCTTTGTTTAGAAAAAGTGGAAACTCTTTCGTATATTGGCGCCATTTCCAATTGAACTTAAACTGAAAGAATTATGCAAATTTGGAGACGGTATCCAAAACAAAACAATAATTAAAAATATATAAAATATATATAATATATATTTGGAAGCTCTCGATAACAATAAAACGGGTAGAGCAATTGATCATTTGAAACATATTTGATATGCGCGTGTTCAAGTCAAGTCTTTAGATCTTATAAATTCTGAGATCGACGCGTTTACACCTACAGACAGCCAGACAGGAGTAACCAAAATGCCCCCTCAAAAAGAAGATATAGGAGATAGTTATTTTTTCTATTTGACAGGAAATATACGAAAATAATTTTTGGTGAATCAATAGATGAGATCAACAGTATCAAAAATAGTTTAAATTTCAAACTGTAAAACTGTCGAATATAGCACCCACGCCCCCCAGTAGGTGTGGTTATACAAATTTGGGCCAAAATGAAGCAGTCTACAGAAATCGACATTAGCTTAATAATCCAATTTTTAATCTTCAATTCAATTTTGGGTCTTGAGACACCAATAGTGTTCAAAATTTGTAACGGAAAATTTACAAAACACTATAGGATCTTAACTTAGATGACAGCTTTTAAGGCTTTGGCTTTAACACTTGCGGAGTATATGGGTTTACCCGGAGTACTGTGGTACGGTGTAAATATATCCAATACATCTTTTGGATGTTGAATTCTCCGCGTGATTATATGTTCCAAATTTCAAGTCCCTAGTACTTTAATAAATAGCGCTCACATGAAATTTCGAATTGCACGTCTCCAGTAGACGGGTAGAAAAGCAGGCATTACACGAAACCAATATACTCTTTCACTTCGTGAATGACTACGAAAATTGTACTTTGTACGTTTTGGTAGGTACCACATTTAACTTGGTTATTAACATTCCACTTTCGGCGGCAATGCTAATCTGTGCGTTCGTATGCTTACGTTTGTTTGTACATACATTGACACGTATAAAAGTTAGTGCAAATTTTGGAAGGATCAGATAGTAAATTGTATAATATATTCTATTCAGTATATCTGCGTAAAATATGTAAGCAATTTTATGGTTTTGTAAGCACTAAGTGGGTTGCTTCATCTAATTATCATCAAGACAGTTTATTTCAAGTAACAAGTAAAACATTTATGTATATACAAATGCAAATAAAATCGCTTTGTAATTTTATATACTCGTTCACGGAGTGAAAATACTATATTGGATTTTTGTGATTCTATGAACGCAAACCATTTCGACAGTAATATAGCTGGAGACTTGAAATTTACAATATATACTCATTAGTACCGTTGTCCTTGAACATTATTGTTGCTCTTTCTCCGGAAGCTCTTCCTACGGAAGCGCAGGAGTGAATTGAAAAAAAAAATTATGTATTCCACCTCCCCTCCACTGATAGATTCAGACTTGGAATTTAGAATACATACTCGGGCTTCGCCTAGCCTTATCAAATGTTCAGATTTTCCTGCTATAGAATTGAAATTTGAAATTTGGCACTTGTTTGTTTACACCGATTGTGGCTGTGTATCTTCCCAGTTTTAGATACCTTAAAAGTTAGCGTGTTTGTAACTATTACAAACAAATTAAAAATGATTGAGCTAATGTTGACCTATGTACTGTATGAGTGTACCAACATTTTTATTTTGCAGTTAGCAACGCTTAGACTATGAATGCGTATTATGCAGTCGAAAATGCCTTACTTCAACATTCTAACTTTAACGCGCAAGGTGTTCGCTTAATTGTGTTCATCAAAAGTACCAACACACACAATGTTTACATTGTGTTAGTTAGTATCTTAGCATTCACGTGTAATGAAATGGGCGCATGATATTCAATGACATACAAATCAAGATTTCTCGTGTCCATCATCACACATTTACGTGACACAAAATTATCTAACTTGTCTTAAAAAATCGCATTTATATATTGTGGACAAAATTCATATTGGTGTTTTTATACATTTATACAAAGTGAAAAAATATGTTTGTCAAAATTGAACAGCTACAATAAAATTACAGCAAAATAGTTACTTTTAAACTTAGCATATTTTGTACGTTTAAGACTATGACAGAATAAATTAAAACCGAGTCTAAGAAGCCGTTTGACATATAGGTACAATGTCTTGCTTATGCGCTTTTGAGTATCCACCATTGGGATCGCTTTGTTTTTTTGTATTAACGTAAACTTGTAAAAGTTTATAGGTCAGCGCTCATACTACGCACAGATCTTATTCACTGTAAATCATCGATAACTTTCCGTATCCATGAAACCGAAAAAAAATATATATATTATTTCCATATCAAAGCCAATTCCACCCGCAGCGTTAACTGTTCATTAGGCACAGTCGCTCTTATGCGTGTGTGTATATATTTGTAATTGTTGGTACATGTGCTGTCTTTGTAATGCAAGTGGTGATATGTACATGTATCACCTCTTCGCATGTTATGACTTACTTGTTTTATTTATTTTCTTTGAGCACTGGATGTTTGAAGAAATATTGACGACAGTAAAGTAAATATTTCTTAATTTTAGTTTTAGCATATATAACAACTTTATTACAATTGCCAACACAGTTTAATATTGTATACATTAATACATATTGTATATTTCTGTTTATAGTATAAGGCATAGCACTGAAAAAAATTCTTCTCAGCTAATGTAATATTTGTAACTGTTCAGTTTGGTAATACAAAAAGCTTCAATTGAATTGAAGTAATAAAATGGTAATTTTCAATTTTCATGTGCGAGCTGTGCAAAAGTTACATAAAATCAGACAAAGACTGTGGCTATATTAAAAGGCTGAACCAAAAACATGTTTTGTTTACTCTACACATTTTCACATGGTGAACCGAGATAAAAATTAACAAATACTAAGACAGTCAAAAGTATTTGCGGTTTGTAAGTGAAGCCGAGCTTAGCTCTCTAGTTTGAAGTCTCCCAGGTTGATTGTCTGTCTCATTTGCACCTGCAATGTTCCAATGAGCATTGTTTTGATTGTGCTCTAAGACAACAAGCAAGCCACAATACAACAACGAAGCTCATTGTCAAAGAAACTAATAAAAAACCGAGCTTACAAACTGTTCTCATAACCAGTTCCAAGCGAGTGCTCGTGCGGTGAATACGTTCAAAAACATTTTCTGGTCCGACGTCATTGAACGCCTACTTTTTGCAAAATTTATGTGAACAAATCAGTATATTATAAAAGATAAAGTGAGTTTTAGTTTTTAGTCCCGACGTTGTACAAATAAGATAATTTTGATTTAAATAGATAAGGACAAAATACCAGGAAATAATCTATGAACAATGGTGTTATCGATATCAAAATTGAAAATAGCAAAAAACAAAAACCAATATAATAGCTGCAAAATGGCAAAAAATAAATAACATTCTAAAAAACGCATACTAAAAATGTATTTACAATAACGAAACAGCAGTCGGACACATTAAATGGTTAAAAACTGAAAATTATAATAATTTTGTTATTTATATAAGGTTATGTCCTTAGTTTGTTAGTATGTATTATAAATTTTAATTCCGCAGTTCCAATGAACAGTAAAAATATCTTATATTTCATAAAAATTTGTAATGGAATAGTGCTTAGCACCTAATCAAGTAATAGCTGAATACTATTTAAATTGTTGATTACCTTGTGGTGGTGTAGAGTTGTGTTATATGTACATATGTATGTACCAATACCCTATTCAATGCTTAATAAAAATAGGGTTACAATTATGTACGTACATATTTATAAAAATATATAATATACGAAAATATGTATATATAAATACATAGTTATATTTAACTATATACATTTAAATATATATACATATGTGTATGTATATAAGTATGCATATACTTGTACATACGTTTATCAATCAAATATGATTGTAAAGCACGCAACCCAATCCAAATCTTATAATATCTTGTACATACAATATTTTTTCTAGAGGCTTTTATTTGATTTGACGTAATTTTTTAATGCTTAACTGTTTAATAATAGGTATTGACTTAAATTTATAACAAAAATTAAAAAGTGTAAAATAAGTCACAAAATAAACAACAAAAACTAGTCAAGAAATTGCATAAAATAGTTTCATTATTTTAAACTTAAACAACAAAATTTACTAATTTCAAAACTAAGTTTGACATTCCATAGCATTTAACACATGATTGTTGTGAATATACACTTGACTGTGGTGTTGTTTGCTTTGCCTTTGTCTTTAGCTTTAGTTCTGATTTGAATCAAGACAGCACAAGGCCAGCGATTGGAATTATTTTCGGAACATAATCTTCTCTGAAGTCCACCATCCACTGGAGGAAACTCAAGGGACGCAGGACATCAGAAAGGAACAAATAGCTTGTATTCTTATCTATTCCTAATGCACTACCTGCTAGTTGTTGAGTGCGTAGACGGCATTTTTAGAGTCCTCGAATGTCTAGTATGTTTATGCCTGAACACCAACTGTGTTTGGTATTTAAAAAGGATCTTTTGCCAAATTTCTAGGATTAAAACTTTCCGTCCCATAAATGTTCAATGGTGTACCAATCAATTAATTTTACGCATAGGATCATTGTGCTGATAGAGAGAAATTAAAGCAAAAAAGAATTCGAAAATATAATGTGAAGAAAATCCTTTTTCTTGAAAATGGGAAATCAGGGTATAATGGCTTTATGCAAATAAAGTATATATATTCTTAATCAAGACGACAAGCTTCGATCTTAGCATCTATAAGACCCAAAGGATTGAAAGTTTGTTTTAAATATTCGATAATTATAACCGTTTTATTGTTATCGATTAAAAACGTCTTAAGGGCTAGAGCCTCAACACTCTGTATTTAGTTTTATGTATATGCTATTCAATTTTGATTTATTGATATATTTTCGGGAACCTCGACTAGAGCTTTCTTGTTATACCCTGATCCCATTGAAAATGGTAAATCAGGGTATAATGGTTTTGTGCAAATGTATGTAACAGGCAGAAGGAGGCGTGGCAGAACCCATAAAGTATATATATTCTTGATCAGGACGACAAGCCGAGTCGTCTGTCTGTCCGTCCGTCTGTCCGTGTGTGTGAACGCGTGGATCTCAGCATCTATAATAGCTAGAGGCTACATTTTTTTAAAAGTCCGTGTATAGCACGCGCAGGTCAAGTTTATTTCAAATATTCGATAACTATTCGCATTTAATTGTTATCGAATAAAAACATTATTGAAATGCAGTAAATAAATTATATCTCGAACGTCTTAAGAGCTAGAGCCAAAATTTGTAATTAGTTTTATGTATATTTTATGCAATTTTGATTTTTGTTGGATTTTGGATACCGGCTCCAAATTCCCCCAAATTCTTAAAATTTAAGTTTAGTTGGAACTAGGGTCATTATGTGAAATCGTTTGCATCTCAACCAAGCTAATAGGATATGTAGATCATATGCTGAAAATTTCATTAAAATCCATTAAGTAAAACAGAAGTTATTAAACAAAACGTTTGGCCAATTTGCAACAGCACATGTCAGCAGCGCCACGCGCACGCATTTTTCCTATGCGTGTGCACACATACATTTAAAAGCGTGTAGTCTTTTCTATTCCAAGAATTGAAATTGCGCTTGAATTGTGCTGAATTATTAGCTGCTACTTAACTTTAAATTTACAACTACTCGCGTAAGCAAAGCAGTGGCTGCGTTGGTAGAGGCGGCGCTCGTATTCAGCTCGGTCGGGGTTCATTTTTTTTTTTAATTATGAAGTGGCGGTGTTGGTAGAGTTGGTGCACATTGCGCAAAAAATCCGGGTTCGAAACCTAGTCTCGCAATGTCGATTTTTATTTGTTTTTTTTTTTTTTTTTTTTTTGATTACTCGATACAAACTACGGAAAATTAAAAAAAAAAACTCAGAGGACTGGGATCAGACTAGAGCTTTCTTACTTGTTTTAGTTTTGGGTTTTTTATTTGTGCCTCATTTTTAGTTTTGTTATCTATTTTTACAATTTAAATCAATAGTGTTTAAGTGTCTCTATGGAATATGTAACTCATTTAAGAAAATTCTATTACTTTTTTCCAATATTTAGATAGCTTAGCGCGTGCAGTGGCAGCATCAAGCAAGCATTAGTTTAGATTTTACGCTGAGGCTCAATCGTTCAATTTATTACAAATCGGAATAAGTTTTATTTATATAAAAACATATGAATCTTTGATGGTATGTTTTTAATAGGTTCACTAGTAGTATTTTATTATTAAATAAAAGAGACAATTCTGTATTTGATTTGAACTTATGTATGCATGCATGTGAAAATACTTAGGAAGAAACACCGGTTGTGAAGATACACTACATTATAATATTCATTAACTATTGATTTTTATTGCAGTGTAGTCGAAAACGCCTTGCAAACTATAATCAAGTGCAGCAAAATCTTGTTTATCGTAAATTTAATAAATATCGCCAAAATTGGGTACTTAACAAAAACTTCGTTTGTAATAACGGAGGGCAACAGAGTAAGTAATAAGTATTTTAATTGATTGATTCAAGTTATACATCCCAATAGTTACATCAAAGTTATACATCTAAATTGGGATTTTCTTGTATGTATAATTAAGTCAACTGATATTTACCTTTAGTGAGTTAGTTAACTGTTTATTCATATAATTTTTTTTGATAGAATATTATACTCATAAATGGAAAATTTCATATTGCAAATATATATAAAAAAATTAAAATGTTAAATGGCTAAAAATAAATTAATTTCGAAGTTTATAAGCTGTGTAATATTATATCTATTAGAAATTATAAATCTTGTTACAATCTTTTAATTATATAATTTTTCTATGTATGCAACAGGGCGACGACATGGGGTTTGGTTCGCGCATGGACTGCTGCGGGCAGTTTGTGAAATACAGTCTATTCATAGCGAACTTTGTTATGTTTGTAAGTTTCATCAGTATTATCGGAAAAGACTTACAAATTTAATAATTCAAGTATTTGTTTTTAAGGTAGGAGGTGCTATTGTTTTCAGTCTAACACTCTGGACCCTGGTTGATCGCAGCTTTGTCAATGAATTACTGGGGACAAATCTTTTCTCCGGTGCTGTCTATGTTCTGTTAGTCACCTCTGTCATTATTTGTTTGGTTTCATTTCTTGGTTGTATAGGCGCTGGAAAGGAAGTTAAGTGCTTGCTCTTATCGGTAAGTTTTGAAGGAATGCAAATAGATTAATCTCTCACATCATTAAATGAGTATCTGTCACATTCCCTACTCTCTATAAATTTGTAGTGGTATTGACATAAATGTGTAAACAAAGATTTGAATATATTGAATATTGCGAGTTTATGTTTGTCTTCATTGATATATATATCTGAATGATGAATCCTTGAACCATTGAACTGTATAAATAACAGTCATTTTGCTGTGCTTACACACACCTTTAGACTATGCAACAATGAATGTCAGACAATGCACCTATCAGACAATTTCGAATTAAATACGTATTTTGCATAAGCAAAAGACAATCAGGGTACATTGGTTTTGTTAAAATGTATGTAAGAGACAGAATGAAGCGTAACAGATCCCATAAAGAATATATATGCTTGAGCAGGACAACAATGCGAATCGATTCAGCTCTATCCATCTGTCCGTATGTGTAAGCGCGTCGATCTGGGCATCTTTAAAAGCTAGAGACTTGAAATTTTTTAAATGAAATTTATTTCAAATAAATAAAAGCATGATGAAAATGCAGTTACTAAATTATATTCCGTACTGCTCAAGACCTAGGCTCCAAATTTTGTATTAAGTTTGATGTGTATTTTCTTCAATTTTGACTTAATTTGTTAAGTTCAGTTGAAAATAGGGCCAACAAGTAAAGCTAGCAAACACTCTAATCGAATATATAGATCATATGCTGAACATTTCATTAAAATCCATTAAGTAAAACAGCAGTTGTTAAATAATTTACATAAGCACGTGAAAAGCAGCGTCAAGCGGACACATTCTTCATACAAATGTTCACCCATCCATTCAAATGTGTGTATTTTTATACCCTGATCCCATTGAAAATGGGAAATCAGGGTATAATGGTTGTATGCAAATGTATGTAACAGGCAGAAGGAGGCGTGGCAGACCCCATAAAGTATATATATTCTTGATCAGGATGCCTGTCTGTCCATCCGTCTGCGCGTGGATCTCAGCATCTATAAGAGCTAGAGACTTGACATTTTGTAGGTCCGTGTATAGCACGCGCAGGTCAAGTTTGTTTCAAATATTGAAATGCCGTTAATAAATTATATCTCGGACAGAGCTAGAGCCTCCAAATGTATTTAGTTTTATTTATATTTTACGCAATTTTGATTTTTGTTGGATTTTGAATACCGGCTCAAAATTCACCCAAATTCTTAAAATTTAAGTTTAGTTGGAACTTGAGCCATTATGTGAAAGCGTTTGCATCTCAACTAAGCCAATAGGATATGTAGATCATATGCTGAAAATTTCATTAAAATCCATTAAGTAAAACAAAACGTTTGACCTATTAGCAAAAGCACATGTCAGCAGCGCCACGCGCACTTATTTTTCCTATGCGTGTGCACACATGCATTCAAAAGCGTGTATTCTTTTCTATTCGAAGAATGGAAAGTGCGCTTGAATTGTGCTGAATTATTAGCTGCTACTTATATTCAAATTTGCAACTCTTGAGGAAAGCAGTGCAGTGGCTGCGTTGGAGGAGGCGGCGATCGTATGCGGCTAGGTCCGAGGTTCGATACCGGTGGAGATGAGACATTTTTTATCGTTTTTTTTAATTATGACGTGCCGGTGTATTAGAGTTGGTCCACGTTGCGTTAATAACCCGGGTTCGAAACCTGGTCTCGCAATGTGTTTTTTTTTATTTGTTTTCTTTTTATTTTTTTTGAATACTCGATACATTCATTTAATAACTTTAATGTATATAATATGGCACATTAACGGATTATTTGGTTTAGTATTTCATCATCGTTGCTTTGGTTTTCGTTACCATGCTAATTGGCGGCGTTTTGGGCTATGTATTTCGTGAACGAGTGCAGCAAACTATGCGACAGGTAAAGAGAATGATTTGATATTCACAAAAGGTATAAACTTCGCCTTCAATTAGGAAATGCGTTCCACAATGGCCTTATATGGTAGTCGACGTGAGATCACACAGGCTTGGGACTTAACACAGGAGCGCTTACAATGCTGCGGCGTTGATACTTGGCACGACTGGAATCGATATGGACCTGTGCCGGAGTCATGCTGTCAGGAACTGTTTGGGGGACAACGCAAAGAGTGCACCATCTTTCCCACAATTACGAATCTATATAATCAAGGCTGCTTGCATGTGGCTACAAATTTCATACGAGACCATGCTGCAGTAATTGGAGGCACGTCTATAGCTGTGGCTATACTCATGGTATGCATTTTCAACTATGTACATATATACTTATGAATATTCTCATCTATTTATATAAATTTATTTACAGATATTTGGTATGATTTTCTCTTGTTTGTTATTCAATATGATTGAATAGCATCCGTTTACACATTGTCATAGTCAAGTCATTACAAGTGTGTTACATAATATTCACATAAAGTATTATCCAAGTGTATGATATGTAAGATTTATTACGCAAAAATTGTTCGTTTTTGTACTGTGTTTATATTCTTATATATAATACCTAATTAAGTATGCAAATTTTTTAATTGCCTAGTGGTTTTGTCGATTTGTTATTTCCTGTTACATAATATTGTATAAATTTTGTTTTAATAATGTAATACCTATAATTAAAATAATAATAAGCGTTCTTTAATTATAATTTGTAGAAAACAAACTAGTGTTCTACAACGCTTGGGTAGATGTCTGCAAAACCATCAATAGATTCATTTTTCCCAAAAAGCTGTGTTTGGTTTTTTGTAAGTAGATAAAGAAAAGCAAAACTAAAATTTTTTATATATTACAAAATTGATAGAAAAACTAAAAATATGATCTTTTCATTACTAATAAATATTTTTTCCTATTGAACCGATTTTGCTGGAACCCAAAAATATTTGTTTATACAATTCAGAAATGCAACCAATATCACATGTATAATAACAAAGTTAACTATTATTACATTCCAATACAACCCAAAACTACTTACAAGCCTTGTTTCTGTTATCTGATAAGTAAGACGATATGTCAACATCGAACAAAATCTATCGGAAAAATTATTGTCGACCGATAGTATCGTTGGCGCCCTGCAGTGTGGGAAATACTATGGAAGGTTTATTTTCGAATAATATTTCTTTAAGATGGACTTTATTAATCCAATTCAAGGCGCAATATGTGCCTGTATGTATATTATTTATATGCTTGTTAATAAATTGTAGCCTTAGAGTTCTGCTATTTAGGATTTGGCATTATCTAATCGTTATTCGCTCACTTCATGCATAAAACAACCTGTCCAGTAATAAAATCGTTCCAATATCTGAATATACTGTCATCTCAAAAAACTACCAATTTGAGTTTTGGATTATTTGATGTAACAAAGTTTTTTTCTTTTCTCCGTCTTGAATTGTTAACTTCGGACGGTATTGGCTATATTAATTCAGTGACCTACTTATTGTGTATAGTGTCCGATTATTTCTTGTGTAGGCGCACCACGTAGACTGAATAATTGACCATTAAAGAATATTTGTTTTTAAATTTAGATCTATCAGTCTCTGAATGCTGCTTTATTGTTATAATGAATGTTTTTTTTGAGGATTGATATATTTATTACAATGATAAATTATATCATCTACGTCTTTGGAGCTTATCTCCGGATATTGCATATACATATATAAAGTTCGGAAAACTTTCAGTGATGGTCTGGGGGTGTATTTCTAGTAAAGAAGTTGGAGAACTATGCTTTATAGAAAATACAATGGATGCCAAAAAATATTTGGAGATTTTGCGCACGCATCTAGTGTCCAGTGCCTGAAAGTTTGCATTTTTTAGGGATGGTAAACCAACAATCAGATTTTACCAAGACAATGATCCCAAACATAAAGCCAACACAGTCAGGTGTTGGCTTCTTTACAATTGTGCAAAGGTGTTGGATACTCCTGCACAAAGCCCCGACCTTAATCCCATAGAGAATCTGTGGGCTGATCTTAAAAAAAGGACAGCCAAGCGAGGTCCAACAAATAAAACGGATTTTAAGTCTTATATATTGGAGGAATGGGAGAAGACAATGGTGGAATATGTTCAAAACGTAATATATTCCATGAATAGACGGTTTGAAGCGATCATTGAAGCCAACGGGGGTCATACCAAATACTAATTTTAATAGTTAATTAAGTTAATATTGCCTTATTTTTGAAAAGTATTTGTGTGCAAACACTTTCGTGTCACTTGAATTTGGATATGTTTTTAGTTGTTGTTGTTTTTTTATGCCTGTTAATAGTTTTTTAATTTTTAATAAATATTTTGTAAGACAATAATTTGAAAAAACATAATATAATTTAAAAAAATTTTGAAGTCTCATACTTAGTATATTTTTTTATGTTAATGAACAAAAATATAATTTTTTTCCCATGTGAAAACACTTTCGTGTCAAACTGTAGTTTCATCTAGATTTGGTACAAATTCGATTTTTTTTATTTTAAAAAGCGATTGAAAATTTATCGAAATTCCTGAAATTAATTTCTTATGCAAATACAACAAATATTGTTGATTTGGTTTTTTTTTTAAATACACTAAAAAATACATTGTCATTATACATGCAAAAATAATGTGGATAACATGCGCTGATCCCAGTCCTATCTGCGTTTTTTAATATTTTCCGAAGTTTGTTTCGAGTATTCAAAAAAAAAAAAAAACAAATAAACATCAACAGTACGACACTAGGATTCGAAACCACTATTTTTACGCAACACGCATCAACTCTACTTCCGCCACTTCATAATTAATTACAAATTGGCCAAGCGTTTTGTTTAATTACTTCTTTTTTACTTAATGAATTTATAAAGAAATTTTCAGCATATGATCTACATGTTTTATTGGTTTGGTTGAGATTCAAACGCCTTCACATAATGGCTCTATTTCAAACTACATTTAAAATGTAAGTATTTGGGGAATTTGGAGCCGGTATCCAAAATCCAACAAAAACCAAAATTGCATAAAATATGCAAAACACAAACAAGATACGCACGCACGCATAAGCATGTATTCAGCTTACTGCATAGTTTACGCAGCCCCTGCGCTTGGGCTTTTTACTATGAGATATTAATTGTTGAATAACTTTTGTTTTTGATTGGCTTACTTAATGAAACTTTTTGGGTATAATTAAGGATGCTTGTCTGTGAATTTTTGGGGAGAGGGGAGCAAACGGAGATAGATCGTCCTGATCAAGAATGTATGTCTTCTTCCACCTGATACATTTTCACAAAACCATTACACCCGGAATGCGTGTAGCTCAGGCTACGTTCGTTAGGATTGGACTGGAAGGTTTATGTATGTATTTATGGGTCATTGAAAAGCTATGCCAGATGGAATCATGTACATCTAAGAGTAATTTTTAACTCATTTAGATAGCATGAATAGAAGTTTGATGTAGTCCACACCTGCCTCCACATTAGGAAACTGATTTTGATTTTATTTCCAGTGAACTACCTGCAAAATTTGAGCCAGCATCAATGAAGTTGAAAACTTTTATTCAGCGCGAACACGGCAACAGGCCAAATCCAATGCGAAATGATTGCGTTTGCTGTCAAGTCAAACTTGTTCTCAAATTTCAGATTCCACTGCAATCATCACGCAGACGATTATCGGCAATCATCCTGGAATCTAAGTAGCACTTTATAGCTTATAGCTTCCTTATCCTTTGCAACAAAAGGTTAGTTAGTCAAACTCGTTCTCAAATTTCAGATATAAGACTATTCCATTGCAATCATCACCCAGACGATTACCGACAATCATCCTGGAATCTAAGTAACCCCTTATAGTTGGAAAATATCCTCGAGCTTACAGCTTGCTTATCCTTAGTCCTATTAGTCACATTAAATGATTTTCTTATATGACTATTCAAGATACTTTTTTTAACTTATGTTTTCGCCAATTTTTCGTTGATCCAACTGGTAACATTGTTAAAATGTATAAGAGTCTAAGAATTTCAATGCCTGATTCCATGATATAGGGAGACTCGCTGGACTATGATATTCAAGTTATCAAATTGAACACCATCATCTATGGGACCAAGCCCACTTCGTTGTTGGCTATGAGAAAAATTCATAAACATGCTTTCTGTATGTCGTCGTCATTCCAATTTTCGAAAACCATTCTACAAGATTTCTACATGTACGATGTAGACTCAGGATGTTATTGAGATAGAAACCATCAAGCAAGTTCAATGATGGCACCGATGTAAGCACTATTTGTGTGTCCCTTCAAAATAGTATTGGGAAATATCAAAAGCGAACTGTGATTTCAACTATTGCGCGATTGTACGATCTCCTAACTTTCATCGAGCGTATGTTAATCAGAGCAAAAATGAACTTGCAACGGCTAAAAATATGAGTTTACCAGAGCCCCTTCGAACAGTTTACATTGAAATTTATAAGAACGTTTGTCATGTTGCATCCCGCAACAGCGAAGGTCGAACTACATGCCGTTTTGCGTATAAAAAACATAGCAAGCATATACATTTGCATGTGCGGGCTTATTCTTGTCTATTCGATATCATTGTCAGTTACAACTTAATTTTAAAACAAGTAAGAAAGCTTAGTCGGGGTGCCCGACTAGGAGATACCCTGATCCCAGTCCTCTGAGTTTTTTAATATTTTCCGTAGTTTGTATCGAGTATTCAAAAAAAAAGCAATTGCAAATTTGAACATAAGTAGCAGCTAATAATTCAGCACAATTCCAGCGCAATTTCGATTCTTGGAATAGAAAAGAATACACGCATTTGAATGTATGTGTGCACACGCATAGGAAAAATGAGTGCGCGTGGCGCTGCTGACATGTGCTTTTGCAAATTGACCAAACATTTTGTTTAATAACTTCTGTTTTACTTAATGGATTTTAATGAAATTTTCAGCATATGATCTACATATCCCATTGACTTGGTTGAGATGCAAACGATTTCACACAATGGCCCTAGTTCCAACTAAACTTAAATATTAAGAATTTATGGAAATTTGGAGCCGGTATCCAAAATCCAACAAAAATCAAAATTGCGTAAAATATAAATAAAACTAAATACAAAATTTGGAGGCTCTAGCTCTTCAGACGTTCGAGATATAATTTATTTACTGCACTTCAATAATGTTTTTATTCGATAACAATTAAATGCGAATAGTTATCAAATATTTGAAACAAACTGGACCTGCGCGTGCTATACACGGACCTACAAAAAATTTCAAGTCTCTAGCTCTTTTAGATGCTGAGATCCACGTGATCACACATACGGACAGACGGACGGACAGACGGACGGACGGACAGATGGACAGACAGACAGACTTACAGACAGACAGACGGACAGGGCTCAATCGACTCGGCTTGTCGTCCTGATCAAGAATGCCACGACTCCTTCTGCCTGTTA